TTTTGGGTTTTTTGTAATCCTACAATAAACGAAAAGGTTAACTTTCTGGGGGCCAGCGTACTCAGCCCCTCAGAGAGAATTACTGTTACCCAGAGACTCCAAAACCCCTTATTTGAGGAATACTCCTTAACTTACACTAGGGGTCCTTCTATAATTCAATTTAAGGTATGTTCCTCAAGGGGTTTTGGAATCTCTGGGTATGTTTTGGGTAGGTATCCCCCCATATAGATGCTTAGGACCCTTTGGGAAGCCACCCTGGTGGCAACGCTTAAAACTCCTCCCGTAATCCTTAACCCCTAAACCGTACTTGGAGGTTCATGTGTAGTTGTAATTGGTGCTATGTTTCCCCGAATATGAGTTATAAGTACAGTTACCTTACTTATAAACCCCATTTGTAAATACCCATGAACCCTAAACCCTATACCCTTATAGAATCCCAATAGATCCCTTTCAAGGGGCCCTTAAAGGAGGAGGCCTTATAGCTACCCATGAACCTCCAAGTAGGAATCAACTATGCCGGCGCCTGTCGAGGGTCGTTGTTTCTACTTGGAGAGTCGGGGGATTTAGTAACTGGTTCTTTTAGGGACTTATAAGTACCATAACCCCAATAAGGATCCCTTTTAGGGTACGTATAAGTCTACTTACCACCTACTTACTAAGTCCCCCGACCCTCCAAGTAAGGGTTTAGGGGTTTAGGGTTAGTTTTGGGGTTGGGCTCCGAATATGGACCCTTAGGCCTTCTTGAGGGAGCTCTAGGGACCCTTAAGAGTCTACAGAGGGCATATAGTAGGTATTTAGGGATCCCAGGGTTAAGGGATTAAAGAAGCCTTGTACAATACCCTCGCAGCGGCGGGGAAGTATCCCCCATAAGGGAGCCTTTAAAGGAACTCTTATAAAGGTACTCTAAGGGTTCCTTTCAGGGGATGCCCTTTAAAAGAAACCCTTATAGATCCCTTACCCTGTAGGGTTCCCTTAACGGAATCCTTCAGGGTTCCCTTTTAGGGACTTAGCGCGCTTTGGGAGAGGCGGTGACCATGCGAGAACGCAGGGTGACAAGTGAGCCTCGAAAGGGCCTTTGCAGCTCGGCGGAACACTTCGGGGAGTAGGGGTCCCTTTAGAGGTACCATAAGGATTCCTTCAGTTAGGGGTTAGTATAAGGGCTCTATAAGGGTTTAGGGTGACAAGTAGTAGGTTTGCTTGGAGGGTCGGGGGACTTAGTAACTGGTTATTTTTGGGACTTATAAATACCATAACCCTAATCAGGGTCCCTTTTAGGGTACTTATAAGTCTACTTACTGCCTACTTACTAAGTCCCTGAACCCTAAACCCTATAGTACCCTTATAGAGCCCTTTAAAGGAACCCTTATAATCCCCTTTGAAGGAGCCCCTACTTACTAAGTCCCCCGACCCTCCAAGTATGGGGTTGGTTCGGGTTTTGGGTTTGGGGTTCGGCGGAACACTTCGGAGATTTTTTTCAATTATGTGGCTTGAAAGGCATCTGTAAAGGAATTATGTGGATTCCTATAAGGGACAGCAAAATACGGGGGTATGATAAGGGTTCAGGGTATAGGCTTGGTGGATTCGGGTTTTGTTAATAAGGTTTGAAAGGGGCTGGGTGGGTTTTCGTCTTGGGTTTGAAAAGGGTTTCTGGGGTTTTGTAGGACCGTGAAGGGCTTAGCGGTGTTGTTGGGCCTTCAAGTGCTGGGTGTCGGGTTTGCCGCACTCTTCAAGGTGGTTTCAGGGTTTGGGGCCTTTGTAGGGGGGTTTAGGTTATAAGTCGTGACCCTCTAGCAAGAGGTCCTACCGGATGTACCGAAGATTATCGTAACGCCAAGACCCGAAACCACCCTCTCTCTAGAGCCTGCCATAGACTTGTCGGTTCCAAGAAGGTCTATCTAGGCGATAGGCCCTGAAGCCTAAACCCGAAAACACTCAAAACCCAATCCTAGTAGGGTAGGTAACCTTTAACCTTATTTTGGGTAGTATAGCCCCTATGCAATCCCTACATAACCAAGAAAGGTTAACCTTCAGCTCCCCGTGATACCCGGCAAGTAGGCAATAACACCCAAGAGGTCCGGATGCCCTTGTGCTGTGCGCCACAAAAGCGGCCTGCAGCGAGGCCGCCCGCTCTAAGCTTGTAACTGGCGCCCTGCAACCTTTAACCATGCTTTCATGTAGTCCTGGGTTTGGAGTACCATGCTTGAATAATTACTGTTTTTGGTACTAAGTTAGGGTTTAGGGTTTAGGGAACTTCTAAGAGGGCACGGAGCACCTAAACCCGGGCTGCATCCACCTGTGTTTGATCTTTCTAGGAACCCCCAAAAAAGACATAAGCGTAAGCATGTCACAAGGACATCCCTACCTTATTGGGCTTCCCACATAAGGGGATTTGTATGGGACATCCCTATCCTACTTTTTGTTTGCGTATGTGCTTTTTTGAGGCCCTAACTTTTCAAGCATGATCGTCATCTTGTAGTCCTGTCTATCCAGTCACGTGATCCTCGAAGCAGCTGCCCAGGAGGATGAGACGCGGGTTCCGAAAACACTGTTGGTGATATACATCCTGCATTACCTTAACTACCCTAAACTATGGGAATTATTGTATATTCCCGATTAAGGGTGATGCAGGATTTATAACACCAACCGTAGGGGACCCTAATGTAGTACCCTAAATAGCCGCATCCTTATTGTAAGGGCACCAACACAAGGTACCCTCATTTTCGGAAACTCCCAGATGGAGAAGACGTTGTGTGGACAACTACAGCAAAATGGTTCAACGAGTCTAGAATCGGGTTTAGGGGCGAAGGTTTCGAGTTGCAAGGGCATCAGACGCCAGCACGCTCACTTGATCTTACTTGCTCAGGGTTTTTGTCAATCCAATTCTTTCTGTGTTTTGGTGTCCCGTGAACTCGTCGAACCTATCTTGCTGGCACTCCCAGTACTACTATCACCGCTGCTGCCACTGGTACCAGTACTTACTACCACTAGAGCTACTGGTTTGAAATGCCATGGATTGTTTACTCCAGCCGCAGCCAAGCGGGCAACACACTTTCAAGCAAGAAAACCGCTCAGATCATGGGAAGGTGCCTCCTCACTTAAGAGCCCTGCAAGATCCGGTGAAATCTCTAACAGGAAACCATTTGAAGTCCTTTCTACTTTCACGGCTTCCTTAGCGGACTCAACCCTTGTCTGAAGGGTCAGTTGTGCCGTTTGGCACCTCAAAAGCAGACAAACTAAGTCACAGATAGTTGTGCGAATGTGCATATTTTACAAAGCAAAAAATACACATGCATACATATATCAAATAAGTATGTATATATACATGTACATATTAACATACATGTGCATGGCCCAATATCCAGTTAAAAAGCGCCTCGAATCCCAAACTCATCGGATGAAGTTGAGCTCCGTGGGACCTCTTGGCACAGAGAAGGCCGTGGAGCTGGCAGAGGAGTTAACAGAAGGCACCGACCTACAGTGCGACATGGACTGGCTTAGAGTTTAGGGTTTAGGGTGTGGACCTGAAACCAAGGGTGAAAGTGTGTTGACGGACTTGCGACTTAGAGGTTTAGGGTTCAGAGCGAACCATCAATCATGCAATCTTTCGGCACCATATCTCAAGCTCAGAACTCCAAACACTACAACCGAACCCTCCTTTGCAGCTCCCCCAAAATAATACGACACCCTCAATAAAAAGGAGCCTAAAAGGGACATTAATTTAGAGAACTACCCACATGTTATGATAGTAAATCCGAAATCCCTAAGCTCTAACTCCCTAAGCCCTTTATCCTTAATCTCCAAAACCCCAAACCCCTTAGATGCCCTGAAACCTTGCGTCTCAACCACTGAATGCAACCTGAACCACTTAGAGGCCGAGTGGGCTTAGTAAGTAGGCTATAAGTAGCGTTATAAGTACCCTAAAAGGAGTTACCCCAATTATCACACGCTACTTATAACCGGCTTACTAAGTCTCCTGGGCCTCCAAGCAGTCACTCAAACCTTAAAACCTAAACCTTCAATTCAAGGCAAACAAGAACCGAAGTATAAACCCTAAACCCCTAAACCTAACCTGACTCAGAAACCCAGGCTTGCGCGTCAGCGCCAGTGGGCAGGGCTCTGGCGGTTTGATGCTCGTCGCCACCCCTGAGCCAGGGCCTTGCAATTTCGGGGTTTAGGGTTTAGGCTTTAGGGAGGATTTAGAGTTTAGGCTTTAATAAACTTAAGGAGGATTTAGGGTTTAGGGTTTGGGGGATTTAGGTTTAGGGTTCAGAGGATTTAGGGTCTTAGGGTTTGAAAGTTTGGGGTTCAGGGTTTAGGGTCTCGGGTTAAGGGTTCTGTGTTTGTAAGGTGTTTTGAGTCCGGGGAGGTTTGGAATATAGGGTATGGGCTAGGCTTTGTCCTGCAGTGTGGCTTTTACATGGCCGGGTTCCCTGCACGTGGACGTCTATCATCTTCGTGCTGCAGCACACATCCTTACGCTGTAATGATTAGCATAACTGATTTGTCGCACGTGGTCTCTGACATGCCCAGCGGAGCTCACATAGAGGTCGAACCAAATTTAAATCGTAATGAGTAATGGCCCTGTGTAGGCTGCACGTATCTATGCCACAGTGAACCTCAAAGCCCTGCCCACACTATTAATGCGCATACTATAGAACCCTACTATAGATCCCTTATAGACCCCGTTGAAAATCCCTTGAAAGGGACTTGAAACCCTGTTCTAAGTAAGGCACGTACGATATCCTCCGGCTGGCACCGCATCCAGGGACATCCCAGACCCCCGGGAGGATCTAGAACTACTATGAGGGGTCAACTCTCGACGCCTTGGGCGACCTCTACTCCGTGGAGCTGCCTTTCATTGGGGCAACACTCCAGACCTTCCGCGGGATGGCCGAGTACATGATGGAAAAGGGGCTGGGGCCTCCTTTCTACACCAAGGGGGCATTCAAGGGACAGCCTGTCTTGGTGAGGGTCATCCCCGACAAGAGCAGATTGGGCTCATGACAGCGGGCCGGCGGCTAAGTGACCAGGTCTCTGAGGACCGCAGCAAGGCGGCCTATGACTCCACGCGGCAGGCGAGGGCTGTGGCTTGCGCCCTTCTAGGCGGATTCTCAGTTCCATCTGAAGCCAGGGCCCTCAAAAGTTTCTGGGCGTTGCAGATCAATCGCTCGTCCACAGCCACTACGCCGAGCCTGCTCAAGGATATCGAGGCCTTGATCGGATCCCTGATGGTGTCCAGCGCTGATGAAGGAGGGAAGCTAGAGATCGCCAAAATGTCCAGGCACGTTGCCATTTCGTCATTCACGAAAACATTCTCGACTAGGGCTTTTCTCGCAGTGTATGACATCGATCTGGCATCGACGAATGTGCCAGAAACCTTCATCGCCCCCTATGACAAGCTCATTGGGCTGCAGACCTGAGCGGGGGTCTGGGATTTCGTCCGAACTCCCAAAGTCCTCAGCCTGAGCCGTGGATTTCGACACCCTCAAATTAGGGACCCAAAAAGCACGGGTTCCTTTAAGGGTACCAGAAGGATTTCTTTAATTAAGAGTTAGTATAAGTAAGGGCTCTATAAGGGTTTAGGGTTTAGGGTATCAAGTAGTTAGGGACCCAAAAAGCACATCAGCATAAGCTTTTTATGGGGATATCCCTACCTTATTGGGCTTCATTATCCCTATCCTATTTTGTTGCTCATGTGCCTTTTTGGGGGCCCTATCAAATCCATCCTAAATAGTATCAGGGAGACCCCTACACTTGACAGGGACCTTATAGAGAGGGTCTATATCCCCTGGGGCCCTCTAATCCTAACTCCTAATCCAGCATGAGGGTGCGTGTGTAGTTATTTGGGAGTTTTCGAAAATTAGGGGTGCCTGATTTTGGGGTCCATAAAATTAAGGACCCTACTATTTATGGTACTACATTAGGGTCCCCCATTTTCGCAAGCTCCCATGTAAGTACTGTTTTAGGCACCTTGCGACGGGTTACACCTACAGTCACCTACATTTCACTCACTCGCTATGGTTGCCTTTCATATCCAAGTAGGCCTTCGGTATACGTTGTGTTTTGGTTTATTTGACCTTATAAAGGCTTTAAGGGGCCAACCTTGCTAGAAGTCTGTTTACTCCGTCCCTGGTCCTGATCTCCCAAGTAGCTACTTTCTAAACGCGGCAGCGGAAACCCAGGGATGGGCCCTGCAAGGTAGGCGAATACTTGGAGGGTCGGGAAACTTAGTAACTGGTTATTTTAGGGACTTATAAGTACCATAACCCCAATTAGGGTCCCTTTTAGGGTACTTATAAGCCTACTTACTACCTACTTACTAAGTCCCCCGACCCTCCAAGTAGGCTGTTGGGACATTTAATGCCGGGGTCGGTAGCTCCAAGGGTTGCTGATAATGGTGTCTACATATAGTTCCTGCAGAGGTTGGATTTTTGGCTACAGGTAAACCCTAAACTCGGGGTCTAGCTACACGTACATCGAACCCACGTACAACCCTGAAGCCTCAAACCCCAACAAGCACAAAAAAGCTCGAAACCTTAAACTTCAACCCCGAAACCCCACCTAGACATTGACCCCTGTGTATGAGACACAGCTTGAGACCTCCCTCAGCCAGTTTTTCTCAGCGTTGAGAATCATCATGGCCTTAGCAGGATTCCCGGGAGGATCGTGGGACTCAGTAGGTGAGGGTATACGTAGTTTAAATGTGGTCATAGGTACGATTGTAATTTCAGTCACCTCATTATTTGTGTTCCTGGCTGCTAGGTCCCGTGATCCTGATTTAAGGCACCTTTACATACTCCTTAGACCTCGTAAGCCCAAAGCCCAAAACCCGAAACCCAAAATGAACACCAAAAAACCCTAAACTCCTAAACCCTAAACCCCTAAGCTCCTAAACCCTAAACTCCTAGGCCCTAAACTCCTAAACTCCTAAACCCTAAACTCCTAAACCCCTAAACCCTAAACTCCCGAACCCTAAACTCCTAAACCCCTAAACCCTACTTGGAGGGTCGGGGGACTAAGTAACAGGTTATTTTAGGGACTTACAAGTACCATAACCCCAATTAGGGTCCCTTTTAGGGTACTTTTAAGCCTACTTACCACCTACTTACCAAGTCCCCCGACCCTTCAACTAAACCCTAAACCCCCTAAACCCTAACCCTAAACCGGTTTCAAGAAGACCCCTGATCAACTTCATCCTCTTAACTCCCCAATATCCCTTAATTAAGGAATATTCCTTAAATCCAATTAAGGATCCTACTCTAATTTAAGGTATATTCCCTAATCAAGGGATCCTAAACTCCTAAACCCTAAACCCCAAACTTTACCGACTCCGCTCCTGCTGCGCGCCCAGGGAGATTCTGGACTCGATGGCCGGCACCCCGGAGGGTGCCGGGAGGGAACCGGGGGATCTTTAGGCTCTTTCTTAGGGGTTTAGGGGTTTCAGTAGGGTTTAGGGATGTTTAGTTTAGGATTTACATAGGGTTTAGGCTCTTTCTTAGGGGTTTAGGGGTTTCAGTCTGAAAAGTTTGGGGGTTTAGGGTTTAGGGATGGTTAGGGTTTAAATTGGATTTAGGAGTGCAGGGTTTAGGGTTTGAGTAGGGTTTACGGGTTTAGGGGTTTAGTATTTGGGAGCTTTAGGCTCTGTTTTACTTATTGGCTGTAAACTCAACTTTTCAACTTTGGGGGGGTAGTCGATTCAGAAAGTTTCAACTTTTGTATCTTTGGGTTTTGGGCCAGTGAGTTTAGGGTTTAGGGCTTGGGGGAGGGATTTAGGGTTTGGGGGTTAAATAGGGTTTAGGGGCTTAGGGTTTAAACAGGGTTTCGGGGTTAAGGGTTTGGGGGTTTAGGGTTTAGGCTCTTTCGACTGTTGGTCCTAAGTCCTGGGCAGTAACAGGGAGACCCCTTAAACGGGCACCCTTCTTCACACGTCTGACACTCTTACAAGGGTCCCCCAAATCCTGATTCATAATTGGGGTCCAGGGCTAGCACTACCTGTGGCCCAAAACTCACTTCCGAGGGGCTACATACTGTTGATGATATACATCCTGCATTACCTTAAGGACCCTAAACTGTGGGAATCCTGGTATATTCCTTGTTATTGGCAATGCAGGTCTTCGTGGGCATGGAACAGGCGAAGTACAACACTGGCTACCGTGTCCACACCACCATGCTGCGCTTTCGCTGGCGCCCGACCACCGTCGGCGCGCCGCGGCGGCCTGCTGACTCGGCCTACAGTCTCTTCATTACCGCGAACAGCGCTTTCCTTGCGAAAAGCCGTCTCACGAACCAGAAAGTGACGATCCCTGCCAAGCAGTGCTCTCGCTGCACCACGTCGAAGAAGTATCCGGCTTTGACCTTGGAGGACGTGCCCACTGAGCTCCGAGGCCTGTCGAGGGAGGCCTCTGAGGCCTTGAGTCTGCAGAACTCTCAACAGGTAGTAGTGTGGACTCTTTAGGCTTTTGGGTGTTCGGGCTCGCGGGCTGAAGTCCAGCTTAAGGTCGTTTGGGTTCACTTAATGGTCGATTCGGCTACCTTGGTGGGTTCATTTCTTGCAGAAGTTTTTCGGGATCAACCCTAAACGCTAGAAGTCATAGAAACTCGTCGGGCTTGTCCCTGTACCTACCAAACCACTGCATCTGCTGAATGACCCGTCTCAGAGGGCTAGGCACTCTGTTTTTTCTCTGTTCTCTCCCTCTCGCTCTCGCTCTCGTTCTCGTTCTCGTTCTCGTTCTCGCTCTCTCTCTCTCTCTCTCTCTCTCTCTCTCTCTCTCTCTCTCTCTCTCTCTCTCTCTCTCTCTCTCTCTCTCTCTCTCTCTCTCTCTCTCTCTCTCTCTCTCTCTCTCTCTCTCGCCCTCCCTACAGCATGTACGCGAACACACACACACACACACATATATATATATATATATATATATGTATGTATGTATGTATGTATGTATGTATACAGTGTACATACATACAGAAATACATATACATACATATATATATATATATATATATATATACGGTATATATGTGGAGGTACAGTTTGTACAACCTATCCGCTACTGAAGACAAGGACCATGTGGACCTCAAGGACTGCTTTGGCCTGATCCTACACGGTGCGAGCACCATGCGACTCTGTGGCAGTGGAATGTGCTTGGAGGTGCATTGGTAGTTATAAGTGGGGTTATAAGTAGAGCAGTTATATTTATAACCCATATTAGGGGACTTATAACCCTTCTTTTAAATACCCACGAACCTTCAAGTGGGAGTTGGGTTGGGTCTAACTGAGATGCCTCTTTAGGGGTTTAGATCTTGGCGGGGTGCTTAGGCTTTAGAAGGTCCAAGTACCGAATAATCATGCGCTCCCCCCAGTACCACCCTACATCCTAAGCCCGGGTACCCCAGTACCTGATAATTATAGCTCCTTTGAAAATTTAAGCTGCTCTTGGGAAGCACAAGCCCTTATCCTCACAGCCATTTTGGTACCCTCTAAACCCCTAAACCCCTGAAGCCACAAACGCTGAACCGCAAAGCCACAAGCCCCCAAACCCTAAACCACACAGCCCCAAACCCTAAACCAAGCCGCCCCCTCCCCCCCGAAACTCTACGTAATCCCTGCAAGGTTAGACATGGGCCTACACAACCACCTCCGGAAAGTCGTCCGCCAGGGTCTGCCGAAGAGCCTAAGCTTGGATTTCTGGTCTTGCTAAGTTATGGGTGCAGGCTTGTAGGCTCATAGTTTCGGGCCTAGGGGGTCTGGGGTCTGGTTTAGGGTTTGGTTTAGGGTTTAAGGTTTAGTGTTTGGGTTTAGGGTGCAGGGTTTGGGTTTAAGGCTTTAGGGTGTGGTCCTTGTTAAGGACTGTGTACGTGTTTCAGAAGGCATAGTATGAGGCTTGCATCGGGTTCACGGGGGATTCGGGGGATGCGAGCCTCGGTATGGAGTTTTGGGGTGTGGAGTTTAGGACCACGCGGCCTATCAGGGGACAAAGCACAGAATCAATAACCCCTGATTCCTAAACCCAGAGCTTTACAGACCAACAGGCTTTGTAGGCAACGACAAATTGGGTTTCCAGGAAGCCCCTTCTGAAAAGGGATTTACGGTTTAGGGTACTTCGATTCGAAACCCTTGGAGCGTGGACTTACTGTTGATGAAATAAATCCTGCATCCCTAAACTCTGGGAATTATGGTGTATTCCTCATTATGGGTAATGCAGGATCTTTGTCAACAACCGTTATCATCAGAGTCCATACTTGTCATCTCGTAAACCTTGCAAACATACCCTGCCCCAAAACCTAAAGCCCAAAGCCCCGAACATCCAAAGCCCATTACCCCAGTAAACAGTCCCCATAAGGCCTCAATACTTGGAGGTTCATGAGTAGTTAGAAGTGGCGCTATAAGTGGGGTATATGACTCTAAAAATAACCCGTATTAGGT